GACGTTTCATCACGTTTTGGCTAATTTATATATCGGGCCCGAAATCCGTGGAGATTTCACACCTCGGAGCGAGCAGGTGGTATTATATGGGCGGAGGAGTGATCGAGAACCATACACACCACCACGCACATGTCCGTTAACTGTCGTAGAATCTCGGAAACATTCCACCAAAAAACTAACGGTAATTTTAGTATCGCAATCTGTGATGGTTTTCTTGTGTATTTTAAGATATCGTATATATCCAGAGAGTACGCCCGTCGTTCGCCGTTAGGAACCAGCTCACAGCTCATGCATGCAGCTAAGCTCTCAAAACGCCTGATAGATAGGCAAAATCGTGTCTGCGGTGCATGCGTGTCCTGCGGATTAGCCTACCCCAAGTCTCGCAGGCGCTACACAGCAAACATTTTTCCGGGAACTTCCCGGTTGGATTCGGGAAGTACATTTTCCGGTTGCTCCAAATGTTATAACATGCATAGATATGACGAAAAATAGCTTCCGGAAAATTACTTCCCGGATTCAACCGGGAACTTCCCCGAAATATATTTGCTGTGCTAAGCTCTCGTAATTTGACGAATAAATCTTAGACTTTTACTTTCTGGACGATCCGTAACAAAACTTGGTGGAGTTAAACCGCAACGTTTCCATAAATGGTAGGTTGCCGCCAGTGTTTTTTTCTGACTTTGGGAAAATCTACTCCTATTTTCGAGGTTCAGCGGAGTGCCCGTTATCTGCATTGCACAGCCCGTCCGTTCCCTCCCGGGCCGGGGGCGGCTCTCCCGTGGGTATATTGGGCGCCTGGGCCGGGTCAGGGCCGGCGGCACCGCTTTGGTAACGGCGACCAGAAAACAAACAAAAAAGTGCGAATTCCCTATTATTGCTATGACGCATAGAGACGAGTGTGAGCGCCGACAGGCGCTATTATTCTCAGCGCCTTATGGGTCGCCCTCGCCCGCCTCGCCCCGCCCCGCCCCGCCCCGGCGGGTGGCGCCGGGTTCTGCCGCATGGCGTGCGCGGCCGCGCCACGGTGCGGGTCGGTGGCTGACCCCCGTGGGAACGCCCGGCCAGCGCGGGGCGGGGCAGGGTGGCGCGCGGCAGGCCAGGCAGGTCCGCGGTCGGTCGTGGGTTTCACGCGGAAGGGCTCTCTAAATACTGCCCCCGCGATAATACCGGGGTGTGTACGGCACTTGCACTTCATTTGAATGCACTTTGACAGAGGAGCGAGCAGTAAAGACAGTAGTTTTAAAAAGGCCAACCGTCATGTGTTCGATCCGAGTCCAACACTTGCAAGAAGTGCTCTAATATGCAAGTTGAACACATTACATCCAAAGCGAGGGGACAATAACTTCATTCCTTAGGTTTTCTCGTGGTAGAAAACACTTATTTCGACTAATTTGTACTAGGTCCACTAGTTTCCCGCTCAGTTTAAGCAATTTCTGTTAATTTCGATTGATTTTTATCCTGATGATTCCCAGGCAGGTGTACACATGATTCCCGGGAGTTCTTGCCCCCTCGGTCCAAGGTAAGGAAGTGCACAGTTGGAGTAGTTGTATATACAAATAATTGAACACTCTTATCGATTCAACTTGCAGTTTAACACTTTGCAAGTAGTTCGTCCGACAGCGCCCGGCCTCTCTACACTGGCGGGGATCGTGTCGTTTTTCTGCTCCCACGCGGGCGAAGTGTCTGAAAGGCAGCCAGGAAAAACTGGGGAAAATTGAGTCACAGCGACCCGAACAGTAGGCGGGGGCTTATCGGGCTTGTCCCGTCCGGTCCGGCCGGGGTGTCCACCTCCAGCGGTGCAGGCGGCCTTGCGACCAGCCTCCAGGGGGGCCGCTCCGGGCCGCGGCGGGGGCTCCAGGGACCGCAGGGGACCGCAGAGGGGGCACACCCTGCTGCAGCCCAGCCCGGCCCGGACCAGGACCGGAATGAGTCGAGACGGCCCGCCACGCCACGCCACAGGCCGCCCGCCCGCCCGCCCGCGGCATGTCAGCGTGTTACCGAGGCTTGCGCAAAAGCAGTGCGAAGCCGACGGGGCGGTACAGGGCGGGGTAAGGGGCGTATGTGGAGCGGTCCCGGGCCACACCCACGCCATGCGCAGCACCGCCGAGCCACAAGTCATTACAGATCACAGAGCAAATTGATCCCCTATAGGAGGTAGGTTCGGTGGTGAGCAGAGCGGGCGAACGACTCTTTGCACCACTTCAAACGCACAGGCGTTAGGGTAGGTTGGGTTCCGTTAGGTTAGGATAGGATAGGTTAGAAATCTTCTCAAAAATTGAGAGAAATTCCCACATTTTCAGAGGAGACTTCCTTAACATCTGTCAAGTTTTTCTCAAACTTTAGGAGTTCCTCAAATAAGTTGTTCCAGTTTTTTTACAGCGTAAAGTGTTCTCAGAATAAGCGCACTGTAATGGGAAATTTCAGGATCAAGAACAGTGAGGTTGGTTTTGTGGGTGATGGTCACGCCGGCCCAAGCGTGTTAAACGCTCTCGTACTCACCCCCCTTGTCTCTCCAATATACGCTCTCGCGCTTTTCGTTCTCTTGCCCCTCCCCTCCCCCCGGTCCTCTCACATACCGTTATCTCTCGACGATGTTCATCGTGCTGAACGAACGAAGAAAAAAAACACAACAGCGGCGGCTCCGTGTAACGACTCCGTAACTTTTATTTCTCGCTCCGTCATAACACTCGGCGGAGTAATTGCAGCGGGCGAGCAGCTGCGGCTCCGGGACCATACCAGAGAGACGAATGTAAATGTTAGCTTATGAATGTGGCGATGAGAGAGTACGCCCGTCGTTCGCCGTTAGGAACCA